AAAAAAAATAAAAAAACGGTCATTGAGATAGCAGAATGTTGCCGGTATGAAAAGTCAAAAACGGACGAGGGCCGCCGAAAGACCCTCTCAAAGGGCTGGTGAAGATTATTTAATATTTGAGTAGAGAAGATGTAGTCAGCAACAAGAGCGGACCACATGAGCGTATAGTGTTGGCCTAGTGTCGGTGACGTATTGGCCAAGTGTTGTCCGAGTGTCGGGGAAGTATTGGTCGAGTGTCGGCCGACATGCGTGTCCGTCGATGTCGGTCGATATGTGTCGGCCGAATGTCGGTCGACATATCGGCCCATATTATCGACCGATACTCGGTCGACAGATGCCTTAAGTACACATGATCCACTTTTCTTTGAAACAGGCTGCACGAGGAACTTGCTTAATAAATTAATTCCTTGGGGCTTGAGATCGTAACATCAATAGATTGCTTTTTGCACCTAAGATCGAGTCCCAAATGGCAAATATGTAGTATTTTCTCATAGTGATGTCATGCCAAGTTTAAATGCAGCTTTTATTCATTGCCTGGCCTCGAAGTTAGCTTTGTAACCTGAGCAATAGTACCGTTGCCTTGCCTTGTTTTAAATTTCACGGCAAATTTACTTTATCACTACAGGGTTCCCATCAATTATCTCCTTGTCAACCTAGCTGTGGCAGATATCATGTACGCGTCGTTTATCACACCGCAGTACATTCTGAGCCACACTTTCACGCACCCAGATGGTGTGACTGGTACAGTGTTATGCAGATTGCTAACGGGTGGAAACTTTGCATGGGTCGGAGCAGCTTCATCTGTTTTTACTTTAGCTAATATCTCCATCGAACGCTATTACGTCGTGATGTACCCTCTTGGTAACAAAGGGAAACTTAGCGAACGTAAACTGATGGTGAGTGAATGAGTAAGTGATAGGGTAGAGTTTAATCTGTGCAGTATATACATTTTTGTGTTCATGTTTTCGTTTTTTTTTTTCACTCAAACCGAGTGAAATCCAAATTGGCAGATTAAAAATGGTTGACATCATCAATTGCATAACCTCATCAATTTTACGTGATAGGTAATTGTATAAACAATTTTTAGATGCTTTTCGCACCGTAAAAGTTTGATTAGCTATCTGTGGAATCTAGGACCCCTCTTCCCTCCCACTCCTCCTCCCCACCAGGGTCCTTGGATGTCCGCGAGGGTCGCTGCTGATTTACTGGCGGTCATGGTAGTCTTTTACGACAATTCACGAGGATTTTTTTCTATAATTCTAGGTCATCATCCCTGGTGCTTGGATATTTTCCTTAATCGTAAACATCCCTGTATTCCTGGTTGTGAACTTTGATAATGAAAGTGGAACCTGCGCCAGAGAATGGCCCGAGAAGTGGATGCCAAGAGCTTACAACGTGGCGTGGTTTGTAATCTTGGCAGTTATTCCTTTAACACTGATGGTTGGTTTTTACTCCAGAGTCATATACACTCTGTGGTTCAAACAGATTGACGACAGTGCACTTACACACCAACAAAAGGTAATAATGTAAATTGGTAAGAGTATTTTTATAGATACATCTAGTGGAACTTTATATGGACGTATTTATAACAATGAATCTCAACCAGGAACTCACCTAGCCTTGTATGTATTTGTAAACAGGGTGTGCTGAGAGTACGGAAGCGAGTAACACTAGCTGTTGTCGTTGTCAGTGTAATCTTTGGAATCTGTTGGATAACCGACTCGATAGTCTACATCGTGAGCCATTTCAACACAGACAGTTTTGGTGCAGCCGTATATTCCATTTCAAACACGATGATCATGTTTAATTCTGCGGTCAACCCGTTTGTATACGCTCTGCTAAACCAACGATTCAGAGAGAAGATCAAGAGCACAATAACCTGTAAGGCTTCGAGTAGAGCCAGAGTTCACCCTACAAGGTCCGAGCCCCCTACCATGGAGTTGGCCAACAGTACCAGCCGCGACCGTTCTGCTGAATGCTAGCTCGTTAGATTTAAACGCACCCAAATTCGCAATTAGTCGACGATCAGAAGCCCTGTCTACTGTCCTGATACTCTGCGATATCCAGTCACTGACTCGATATGGCAGCAATACCGTGGTTACTTTTTCGAATTGGGAGGGGTACAGTAAAATTCCAAATCGCACCCTTTGCGACAAATCAGGCTCGTTTGGTCTCGCCATGGGTATCCACCCTCGCCAAAAATTAATTAAAAAAAAAACAAAACAGAAAACGTGATGGCTCGATCGACCAAACTCGCCTGATATGCCGCAGAAACGTAACAGAAAGGGACCATGAAGTAAAAGAACAGCGCAAACCAAAACACATTTCATGCTTTTTTCTCACTTTTACTATTTCACGTTCAAGCTAAAGTATAATACCGCAGTCATCAAACATGCAGACCAATGACAATGTCGCTAGGGCCTCGATACACTAACATCAGCATGCCTCTCAAAGAAATCATCGAACGTGCCCTCCAAATATTAAAACTGGTTGAGTCAAAAAACGTTATTTAACTTGCTATCCCGATTTTCACTTGCTTGCCTTGATCTCAGAAAAAAGCATATTTAGATATTCAAAAAAACAAACAAACAAACAAAAAAAGGGATAAATTGGCCACTACTGAAATGTTATTAAATCACCCCTTCAAGCGCACGTTAGAATAAACTAGCCGATTGGAGCAATCTTTACCATTATAACCAATTTGATCCTCGAGTGACACCACAAAATCGTTGAAGTAGCGGCCATAATACCGCAGAAAATGTCCTATAACAACAATTTCTGCATATTTCTTTTCTTATATATATATGTCACCTTCCCTAGCATACACACACACACTTTACATATTTACTTACTTATATTACACTTTTACACTTAAATTATTGATTACAATTCTTCCCTAGCAAACCTGGAATCAGTTGCTTCTATCTCCAAAATCCGCAACCTCAGATCAGTCCTCAAACAGCAGCTTTCCAAGTTAGCTTTTAATGGAGTCAATGTATCACCGACATGTGTGGCAAATAATTCTTAAACCTTATCTATTTAACTCAACAATTATAATATCGTTATTAATTTATTATCTAACCAACTCTTAAGATTTTATTAGCATTTTTTTATTACCAAGGATTCTTACAAGTACAAAGTATGATAACACTTTCACAAACCACACAATGTATTTGAATTTCATAGCTTATATTAAATTACAAAACATATTTCGGATGAAACACCATTCATCGTTAGCTGTACAAGAATACCAGTTGAAAATGAGCAATAAATAGTCTAACATTGTGTGATGAAAATATGAATATTTAAGGCTAAGGCTTATTAGTTTGAAAGGGATAATTTAAGATGTTTAACTTGGGAATTTAAAGACGGCTGCTCCCGAAGGATGTCTATGGCTTCCTCGACTTTTTAATTGGAAGCTAGCGGAAGCCCAGTCAAAAATTTCGAAACAATCTTCCGAACAAAAGGAGCGACAATTATCAGAAACCCTTCTGTGTTTAAATATAGGGGAATCCGGGTTGCAAAGTATCTGTTGGTTTCACCGACATAACAGGCGCTACAGTCTGCGCACGAAAACTTGTGAATAACTCAAGTTCGCAGGCCCCCAGGGATAGGATCCTTGACTCCAAACAAACTCCATTTTTGTTTTGCACAAATGACTCACCGACTCACCATGCTTTTAACATAGGCCAATTTTTCTCCTCAGGGATCAACGATTTTGTGCAGCGTGTCTTGGTGGGTAATATTCTACTAGCCAGGATCAGATTACATGCGGGACTTATTTGTTGGGCATAAAACGACTGGCGACTTGTCCATTAGTTGAAATGGAGGAAAAAACAAACAAATAACAACAACAAACAAACAAACAAACAAACAAACAAAAACGAACAACAACAACAACAACAAAACCGCAAAAGCGCATTTCCTCGTATCCTTTATGTATTTCTTATGTTGCTGTGGAGGTCTAGACCCTTCTTACGCATTTTCAGTGAGTTTACGTTTTGGCGCTGTTTCGCTCTCCCTATAGGACGTTTCAAGAGGAGGAAGTGAGGAAATCGAGGTCCAGTAGATAATTGAGCAACTTACTGGCGAGGCTTATAAAGCTTTTAGCAGTGGGTATACGTACATGTACTGTCGTGCAACAAAAACGAATTAAAACTACAAACAATTGTATTGATCTTATCTTTGGTCCCTTTTAAGGATTTCAGTGTAATAAAGCAATACAAAAGGAACTCTAGACCATAAGGTCCTCACTATGGACCCAATGTTATTCCTAAAATAATATATTTACCGCTTTTGGTCCAAATATGATCAGGATGAACAGAGTCGCATCGCTTGAATGAGTTGTTAAAACGAGTCTTCGTGCATAACCTTTCGTATGAATTAAATGAGTTTGATTTGGATACACATTTTCATATGAACGGATTCGATCGCACGAAAACTCGTTGGAACTCAGAAGAGAAAGGCAACTCGGAAATGGTCTGTTATCTCATCCAGTTTATTATTCTTTTGTTTATATGGTAATTAGCCCTCTTTACCTCGTCAGCACGTACAAAATACAAAAGAATTTTGAAGTGGAAATGAGGCAAAGAGGACTAATTAACATGCAAACAAAAGAACAATAAATTGGCCGCCATTTTGGAATAAGGTGTATTGTATTGTGTGACATTATAATGCGTTGTGTTGTATATGTAGTGTGATTTTACTTTATTAAATTTGCCTGCAATCCTCGTGGTTGCAGTTGGCCGCCATGTTTTCTGTAGTAAAAGATTTGGTGATTTAAGCCTAATATTCTACATGCAAACGTCTTCTCTTTATCCACAACAGGAACCACTCTCGTTGTCATCCAGTTGCAGGTGGCTTGCATGTTTGGAGCATTTTGTTTTGTTCACTGTTTTGGTAAATCAGTGAGTCTGAAATTTGTTAACTGCTTAAAAAAATTAAATTACATTACATTAAATGAAATGAAATGAAATGAAAGGAAAGGAAAGGAAAGGAAAGGAAAGGAAAGGAAAGGAAAGGAAAGGAAATGAAATGAAATGAAATGAAATGAAATTAAACCCAACTCACCAGAACGACTAACTGTGTTGCCTCCGTACAGATTTACCTGCCTCTTTTAAACGAACGAAACATTTCTCACCCCGACAAAATCCAGGAACTAAAAAATTACCTACCTTAACAACAACATCATGCCTCAATCAGAAACATGTCTTTTAGAGTAATGGCAATTCTTTCAATTCTTTGATGTCCACGACGACTCCTAAAATTCTTCTACCACACACCGAAAACATGATTTCACTCTGTAAGTTTATCCGTTTAAATGTTCATACGCCAGTGTCGTAAACAAAATGTCCTCATGTTTACATCATACATCAAAGAATCCTTTGCATGTCTTTGTGGCTGTTACCACGAAAAAACCTATTTTTGTTCATATACGCACGACAGCGCTCAGGCGCGGATCCATACCGGTTTCCACCGTTTTACGGAAATCGGTCAGAATTTTCATAATAAAAAAAAATCAATAGATATGTATATATTTTTAACAAAAGTAAACTGCAAGTTGAATCTCGAAGTTTTGACATTTATTTTTTATTTATTCTTTTTTGCCAATTACCGGAAATAGACAATGGTCACGCGTTCTGGCGGCAAAATTTTACAGCCGGGAAATCACCAGTCTCCCGACGGCGGTCACGCCATCATATCATCGCCGCGGGCGTCTAGACCAAAATTAGGTTTCCCCGGGCGATATGTGCAATTCTGCCACTCGGTTAGCCTGTATGCCCCTGTATGATCATCCAACGTCTTTGGACAACGACTTCAACAAGAGTGTGGAAAAATACATAACAACGTCAAGATATCACAAATTACTGACTACTTCAGGAAAAAAGGTTAGTTCGGGTCTTTGTTAATAATGCTTGAGAGTGGACAAATTAATTTTACTGAAAAGTTATTTTCGTTCGGTATGCACACGCCCGGCTGACGTCATACCCAGACGTGTTTGTCTGGGCTGAAATTTGTTCTCTTTCTATTACTTGAACAAATGATTTATCTTTGCAGCGGAAACTCGTTCTAGCAATGGTTTTGAGGCTACTGAAAACATATTTACGAAGTACGATGTTACAAACGAGATTGACAGGACTTGCCTTGCTGCACATTCATTACAACATGGACATTGACTTTGACGAAATAATTCGCAGATTTGCAAGGCTTCATCCAAGGAGAATGGAACTGGCAAATATAATGTCTGACTGACTCAAAAGGCCAGGAAAGGGTACTTTAGGTAGTTAAAATTGAAAAAATTTCCCGGGGGAGCATGCCCCCGGATCCCGCCAGGAGCTTGCGCCTTCAGCGCTCGTTTTGCAGTAAATCGGTCAACATTTTCCCTAGATCCGCGCCTGGCTCTGCTATTTAAAACATAAAATCCTAGCTAACGCTGGGTGGTTCAAAGTACTCGGAAACTTACAACTTGAATGATGACTGTGCTTTTTTGCCTTGCCTTTCTGCACGTTTCTGCGTTTAAATATTCTAATGCCCATGTCGTAAAAAAATGTCCTCACGTTCATGATACAGTAGAAATCCCTTCTAAATCTTCATGACTGTCACCACGAAAAGACCTGGCTTTTTTTTACGCATAACGTACGCACAATAGCTCTACTGTAAAACATCACATGCTGCGTGGTTTAAAGTTTTTTCGAGAAGTCGGCCGAGACTTCTCGAAAAGCCCGGGAGCTTGGTTCTAGTCACCAATAGGAATAAAAAATGAACAAAAATATTAAAATAATAATAATAATACAACACGAACGAAGCAAGAACCACTCTCGACACATGGTCGCGGGTTAACAAAACCAAAAACAACAAAGAACCCCACCATTGTTATAAGCGGTTTTACTGAATGATTGAAAAGGCTTATCCAAATTTCGATAAAATGTTACTGCCATTTGTTGATTTATTTAGGTGTGTTGATGCAAAACGCATCACCTGT